CTTTGAACTTATAGTTGGGCTTCACATTTTCGTCTATGTTGTTTTTCAAGACGAACCGCAATAAGAATGATAACTATTACATAAAGTAACACGATGATACATTGCTGTTATAGGCCTGAAAGAACTAATGGGGGGACGACTCGTTATTTCTTTGTTCGCTGCCACAATAAAACGGAAAGGGAAACGACTCAAGAGTTATTTTTAGTAATATTATTATTATTATTATTAGTCTACGATACATGAAGTTCTTTGTTTAATGACATAATAAAGCGGATAGAAAATTACTAAAGAGTTCGCTTCTAGACATAAAAGAACTAAGGGAGGCGAATCAAATTCGCTGAGATACGCATATGCACGAGCGAGATTTTTATGCTAAAGATTGTAATATTGAAGCATTACTGCATTTGATTAAAACGAACACATAGTGTCAAAATGATCGGCATAGCTATAGAGAGATAGTTGTGTTTAACCCTCGTCGAACTACTTCAGTACAACTGAACCTAACTCGGTACGGTTATAACGCTGTATAGAATAGAATAGAAGTGTCGGCGTTGAAGACATAGGCCCATGGCCTGTTGCCGATTTTTGAAATTTTCATGACTTGATTCACAAGAGATCCGGCCTTTGGAACCCGATCTTTCCATAGCTGACGATTGATTGAGATCGCTGCTGGACTTATTGCCTGGTCCGTAATTTGCTAGGCATTTTAAGACTGAACANAGAAACGTCGCAATCCATTAAAATGTCATTTGGTAACCTGCTTCTTGATCTCCCGGTGCCAGCAAAAAATTTTGTTCGACTCATTGAAAAAACAAATTGATATTTCTGTAGCGAAATGAGTTTGCGGTGAAATTAAATGAAAATTATGGCTTAACATATGCCTGAAATATCACTGTGTTCTGTCGATTTAACGGATTTCACCTCATTAATTAGACACGACCCTTGATAACTGCTATGGGGCCATACTTTCAAAACTCGCTAAGTGAACGTAAGTACTTACGCTCTTTTCTTGTCTATGATTGGTGGATTTTACATGAAAGGCCGTCAATGATTGGCTACACTGTAAGAAAAAACGGTGAAAAAACGGTCCCACTGGCGTTCTAGTGGCCGGTCGCACCGAGAAAATAAACTGTTTCTCCGTTCTTAACAGATGTTACACGGATTTCTAGTGTTAAATTAGAATAAAAACGGCGACACGGTGTTTCTTTTCACGTGCCGACCGGCCACTGAAACGCCGGTAATACCGTTAACGGTAATTTTTCTAACAATGTAATGAACTTATATATACGATCTCTCAACTTTTTTGAAAGGATAAGCCCTGGAGTTATCTGAATAACTGAGCTTCTTGATTTATATTGTCTTGCTTAATGGTAATGTGGATTGTTGATAATTAATTAATACCTCATAGCTAGGTAATATTTCAATTAACTGGAAAATTTGATATTTTTCAGGATAGACACCTTTTGTATATAATAAATGTCTGAAGTACCTATATGTCTCGTATCATTTGATCGTTTTATTTATCATTAAGCTTAGAGCACTTAATTAAACAGCTTGCATTTTTCAGAACGCATAGTCACATTAATTATAAATGTATGATTTGAGAGAGAAAATTTGTGTGAAATTGGTAAGGAAGCAAAACTCATTGACAGCAGAAAATGGTACCTAATGCACGCAGGAAAAGATATCCTACGAAAGGAATGCGCCCAGGAAAGGATATCCAACGTAAGCAGTGAAAGACAACAATATTTGGAGCAGAGATACTTCGGCTAATATATAATAACGATATACGCTAATACGAGACGCGGACATTGCTAATATCAGTAACGTTTCACGTATTTAATTTGATTTATTTTCTCATATTGCTGCTCATCAATGAACGCTATTTCTTTTCAATCAAAGTTTGGCTTCATTATCAACAGAAATTATAGACTTCATGCAACACTTCATGCACTTTTATCAATGGGCAGTTTTGACTGTTGGGCGTGAAAGCGAAATTACAGGATGCACTATAAGTAAATATTTGACCAGTGGACTTGTTTGCGGCGGTGTTCGAGGCAGTTGCCAATTTACAAATATTTTCAACATTTGATATATTATGCCTGAGATTAGTTCACCCACGCAACTGGTGATAATAATAATAATAATAATAATAATAATTTGTGTGGTAATATTCATATTTGATATATTAGGCCTGAGATTAGTTCACCCACGCAACTGGTGATAATAATAATAATAATAATAATAATAATAACAATAATAATTTGTGTGGTGATATTCACATGTGATATATTAAGCCTGAGATTAGTTGATATTCTTTGTACGTAATTTCGTCGTGCTCGCAAGTTTATTGATCTTAGGAATTTATGAGCAATCCTTAAATATTTATCATAAATAATTTGAATCAATTCTTTGATATTCAAGATAAATCAATTCTTTGATATTTACGATAAATCAATTCTTTGATATTCATGATCAATCAATTCTTTGATATTCACGAGCAATCAATTTTTTTATATTCACGATCAATCAATTCTTTGATAGTCATGATCAATCAATTCTTTGATATTCATGATCAATAAATTTTTTATGTTCATGATCAATCATAAATTCCTTGATATTTATGATCAACCTATTCAATCAATTCAAGATATTCACGATCAATCAATTCAATCAATTCTTCGATATCATGATAAATAAATTTTAATAATTATTAAATATTTACGATCAATCAAATCAATCAATCGCCTATGGCAATTTTGAATTATGCCGCTGATTTGCATTAGAAACTTGGAAAAAGGCGAAAATTTATTTGTTGAAATCTCTAGTGATGTAAGGTACTGGCTGGCCAAGGAAACTTCTTAAATGTTTATGAACGAGAAAAATTTGATTGGAATAATAATTTGTTAGTTTTGCCTTTTAATGCTAACTTGGTTAGCACTTCGTCCAAAAATTGAAAACCTGTTCTCTGTTTTGCTTAGAAAGAAATAAAAGATTTTATTATTTATGTACTAATAGGTTATTTACTTATTTACATGATTTATTTATTAATGAATCAATTTATAAATCTACATGATTTATGTACTAATAAGTTTGTATATTTATTTACAAGATTTATTTACTAATAAATTTCCACACTCTCACACCACAGCCATCCATACCGGCCGTCCCCTGGTCCTTACCCACACGACGACTTCCCTCTCCGTAAAACAGGTGCGCTGCTCATGGCTTACTGCTCCGTAAAACAGGTGCGCTGCTCATGGCTTACTGCTCCGTAAAACAGGTGCGCTGCTCATGGCTTACTGCTCGTTAAAACAGGATTCTCATGGCTTTCTGCTCTTAAACGGGTTCGCTCTCTAGCGTGCGTAGTACTATCGACAATAAATTAACATTTCATATCGCAGCACAAGACGAAATAAGCGCGACTTCAAATAAGCTAAAATTGCCTTGATGCTAACGCGAAGGATAAGTCGAGAATTCATAATGGAAATATTCATCCATATTAACAGTTTTTATTCGTATTGTTACCAAATTACGCCTTTTAATTAGAATATAATTCACGAAATACTAAGTGAGAATTTTCCGTTTCTCCTCCCTTGGATGTCATGATTTAAGCTCAACGAATGTCACAGAAACGGATATCGCAGCGCGGATCCTATGAATGATGACCACGTTGGCATTGTTAAACATTTTTCAATATAGAAGTAGATCCACAACAGCTGAAACCCAACAGTTCTCATTCTTCTCACTTCACATGCACAAAGCACAGGCATCCATATATCTCCATATATATCAAAGCACAGGCATATAGACAACTGCGTATAACCTTTGTCTTTCATTGAACATATGAAGTCTTTCGTTAAGTACGCGGAGGCGATAACGTGCGATGTCATGTTGCTAATTTTAAAGTTTCCTAGCTTCAGCAATTGGCAATGTTGCCTCATGCGCCGTTCTCGAAATAAACATCGTCGCCGTATGCCATTGCACTATAAAGGTCAATGTTGTGCTGTAGTGGTGGCCTCTTAAAATAGATAAGTCCACCCCCTACAGCACTTCTATTTATACGGCCACCGCGCTACGTACAACTCCTCGGCCTGCCGCCGCGCATCCCAGCTATTTTGACGAGACTACCTGCTGCAGCTGCTGCTGCCTCCTGCTGCAGCTGCTGCTGCCTCCTGCTGCAGCTGCTGCTGCCTCCTGCTGCAGCTGCTGCTGCCTCCTGCTGCAGCTGCCTTCCGCAGCTGCTGACATTGATTATACAGTTTTCAATTTTAGAGTATCTGAAGTCATGGATTTTTTTTACATCTCCTATAAATGGGGCGCATGCTGGAAGCCACCTTCGCTCAAATACAGACTGAGTTCATATTCTTTCCGTGGATAAGAGGGCTAGAGGGCATAGAAGCCTATGAAGTCAATTCTATCAAACCACAGCGCCGTATATCCACAGCTACCGCTCAAGCATGCCCAAGTTAAGCATGCAGGGTCATACTGCATCTGGCCCAAACTCTTCCGGCCTAACCTACACAAGGTGCAATATTTCTCTACCCAAAACAAACCTGAGCGGACTTAACCTAACCTCATTGGCTGCAGGAAGTTAGGAAGGCGGTTCAAATGTTCTGGTAGAGCCAGTCATTAGCTGCAAGAAGGTTGTGATTTGAGACAGCGTGAATAGGTTAGGCCAGTAGAGGTTAGGCCGGAGTAGGTGCATCGAGATGCGTAATTGCTTATCAGCGAGGATGCTGAAGTATTGGCTGAAGACCTACGGCGCTAATATCTTTCGGCAGTGTGTATCACTGGTCTGGGTTACGGTATTCCAGTGTATTCTGAGGCTTTTAGTTCGGTGATTGAATAAAGTTATTGCATGTTGAGGCTGGGCGTTGGCTCCAGGTCTCTTTTAAGAGTTAAAATTGTGACATATACACGGCTGCGCCCCCTTAACTCTAAACTAAGACCGAAGATATCCATGCTGACAAATGCCCATCAAATTTCCCCTGAAAAACCTTCAGCGTAAACCCGAGTAATTTGATATAGAATTTAAAACAGAATCCTTTTCGATTGTAGTTTGTTTAAATCTTGGCGTTATTCTTAACACGTTGAATGCGGTACGACCCTCCAAGGTTTCAAAATGGCCTAAAAACGGCTAGGACCGCATTTGAACGTGTATTGTACACAAGTCTGCAACATGTGACGACAATGTCACCCGTTTGAACGTGTATCGTAAAAGTCTGTAACATGTGACGACAATGTCGCCCGTTTGAACGTGTATTGTATACAAATCTGCAATATGTGACGACACTTTCACCCGTTTGGACGTGTATTGTATACAAGTCTGCAACATGTGACGACACTTTCACCCGTTTGAACGTGTATTGTACAAGTCTGTAACATTGACGACACTGTCACCCGTTTGAATGTGTATTGTACAAGTCTGTAACATGTGACGACACTGTCACCCGTTTGGAAGTGTATTGTACAAGTCTGTAACATGTGACGACACTGTCACCCGTTTGAACGTGTATTGTACAAGTCTGTAACATGTGACGACACTGTCACCCGTTTGAACGTGTATTGTACAAGTCTGTAACATGTGACGACACTGTCACCCGTTTGAACGTGTATTGTACAAGTCTGCAATATGTGGCGAATTTACATCATCATGCATAAGATTTATTAAGGGACCATTTGGTTAGCCATAAAAAGTATTGTCATATTAGTGAGGGAATTTTCGTTCATAAAAAACTGTAAGGTAGTAATTCCAGTTTTAATGGACCAAATTCAATAGTAGAAATCAGTCCAATTTAATTTTACGTTGCATACCCAGGTCAATAGAATGCTCCTAAATTTAAATTAGTCATGGTAACTTAAACTTCCTCATCGACAGTTGCTCATTAAATTTCCTGGAAAATGAACACCTGACAGTCAATGATTTTAGTAGGTACTTTCTCCACCAATTAACCAGGCATTGAGCTCGCCTCACTTATCATTTTATCGAGTAAAATCAAAATGTTCAGGTGGTTGTCACTTTTCAATGACCTGAAATAAATTGTAATGCCGTTAACTTATCAGAGTTAACTGATTAAAAATTTTAAATTGTTCTATTAATGATAATTTCTGCACGTCCTGCAGTCTTCTACCATGAGGAAGAATTTGTTCCATTATCGATATCGGCATGATTTTGATATCACCAACTGACATGATTTTGATATCACCAACCGACATGGCTCGCTGGTGGTCATGCTGAATAACTAGAGCAGGCATTGTTCTCTCAATGTAATTCCTACCTAAGGTGTATAATTAATCGTGCGAGGATCACTGCTTGATTCCTACCTACGGTTTATAATTAATCGTGCGAGGACCACTGCTTGATTCCTACCTAAGGTGTATAATTAATCGTGCACAGATCACTGCTTGATTCTTGCCTAAGGTGTATAATTAATCGTGCTGAGATCACTGCATGATTCCTTCCTAAGGTGTATAATTAATCGTGCGAGGATCACTGCATGATTCCTTCCTAAGGTGTATAATTAATCGTGCGAGGATCACTGCATGATACCTACCTAAGGTGTATAATTAATCGTGCAGGGATCACTGCTTAATTCCTACCTAAGATGTATAAATAATCGTGCAGAGATCACTGCTTGATTTCTAATTAAGGTGTATAATTAATCGTGCAGGGATCACTGAATGACTCTTACCTAAGGTGCATAATTAATCGTGCGAGGATCACTGCTTGATTCCTAGCTAAGGTGTATAATTAATCGTCCAGGGATCACTGCTTTATTCCTAGCTAAGGTGTATAATTAATCGTGCAGAGATCACTGCATGATACCTACCTGAGGTGTATAATTAATCGCACAGGGATCACTGTATGATTTCTACCTAAGGTGTATACTTAATCGTGCAGGGATCACTGCATGATTCCTACGTAAGGTGTATAATTGATCTGACAAGGATAACTGCACGATTTCTACCATAGGTGTATAATTGATCGAGCATTTTGGCGTTTAGTACTTGAACAAAATAGAAAATAAATATATTTTGCACAATAAACACCGCCTTTTCTGGACGCGGACTACGAAAGCTATTGCTTGGCTCTGTGC